TTGCATCTATACTTGCCCACTGCTAACCCCAGTTCTTTTTCTTCCAAAATTTCCTAGTAGAGATATTGGCTGTGACCGTCACGTTGCACTCATTTTTCTAGGCACCTATATAACTTCACACATCAGATTTAAGGACTCAAGTGTAATAGGTCTTTAGGAGTGTTGTGATGGCCAGTCGGTCCAGAGTTCAAACCCCCAGCAAGATGCTCCTAGTATCAGAAAGATACTTGCGTAGTGAAGATCTTTCTTTTTAGAGCTTCCGTTCCTAGGCACAATCTTCTGACCCAGGTAGCTAAAGTTTGAATCCTGGGACTCATGGAACAAAATTCTCAGTAGTGCTTTGTGCCACAAACATCTTACCAGGTCTTGCCAGGTTCCCCTGATGGGAGATGTAGGAGAGGAACAATTTCCCTTTTTTTCCCATCTAGAATCTTTGGCTGGACTAATAATTAAATTGAGATAAGACAGGTTAACTGGAGAAAAACAAATAAATTTAATTTTCTACATACAGGAACCCTGCAGCTCTGAGGCAAAAAGACAGTCAAGCAATTGAGGTTTATATGTCATCCTGAGCTAAGGAGAAGGGGAAAGGAAGACAATCCACAGGAAGATGGGAAGAGCAAATGTTTGGTGTTTTTAAAAAAAAAAAAAAAAAGTTCATTTTGCCATGCACAGACAATGGAACAGAGAGAGGAATCCTAACAGACAAGCCCCTCTAAACTCCTCCTAGCCTACCACACCTAGCCCAGACTCCTCGTTGTTATCTCTGGTGCTACCCTCTATGGAAACAGACCCCCAACTAAATTCTTTTAGGCAGTTAAGGGAGAGGTAAAAAGCTCTTCCTGAGTCTTTCAGGCCTTGATTGTCCAGTTTGAAATAATCCACATGCCAAAGTGGCACATTCTCCAATAGCCTACCCTAAGCTCCATCAAAAGCAAGCCAGCAAATCATGGCTCCCCCTCAGATTTCCATTCTCTCCTCTCCCATGTTTCCCACTTATACACAAAAGGAGTGATCCAATCATTTTTCCAGAAAGCCTACCCTGACACCTGAACCCTCTGAGCCAAGAAACAGTTCCTTCTGTCCAGAGAAAGACAGAGAGCTTACAATGGATATTTGCTTTGCTGTCTGCTTCCAATCACCCTTCCAGTAATGATACCTGGAATTTCCTCTGAGGAACCCCTCTCCACTCTCAGTCCAGATACTTGGGTGAAACTGCCGGAGCGAGCCTGGAGGAGAGTCTTAGTCAGTCTGGAGTTCCATAACAAAATACCACAGATTGAGTGGCTTAAGCAATGAGAACTTATTTCTTACAGTCTGGAGGTAGGGAAGCCCAGGACCAAGATGCCAATCAATTTGGTTCCCCATGAGGCCTCTCTTCTTGGCTCGTAGATGGCTGCCTTCTCACTACTACATCCTTAACATGGCAGAAAGAGGAAGCTTTCTAGTCTCTTCTTATTAAGGCACTAATCTCATTATGAGGACCCTATCCTCGTGGCCACATCTAAATTTGTATCTCCAAATACCATCATACTAAAGGTTAAAGTTTCAACATATGAACTGATGCTGAAGGGAACCATCTCAGACTGCAGCAGAGAGCCCCACACTTTCCCCACTCTAGTGCCTGGTTTAGAGCCAAACAATGAACATAGAGTCAAAGAAGCCAAGTCCTTCCTTGACAGAAACCTCAGACAATGAGGCCTCAGCTATAGACAGGCATCTCTACACCACACAGAGGACAGAAAAGCTAAAAGAAAGAGAGAACAAGTCCTAATGACACCTGGCCTGAAGCCAGACTGACCTTACCCATCTACATGCTTTAAATTTTGTGAGGCAAAAAAAATCCCTCTTGGCAATTTAGCTTAAGCTTTTATGACTTGCAACCAAAAAGGTCCTAACTTCTTCCGATCTCTACCAATTCATCCAGTGGTGTGCTAACGAGAACTTCATGAGAACCACTTGTTAAAATTTCAGGAATTGTAAAAACCAGGTGTTAAACATGGCCATTATTAATAGTTAAATCATGTAAACTTATGACCAAATCAATAATATTTGTAGAAGGTAATAAATACTCAAAGCCCCTCACTTCCTAATAAGTTTACAGTCACTGGTATTTTGAGTATGTTTCCGTCTACTGTGTGCACACGGGGCTGTAGAGAGGGAGGCTGCTCTGCACCTCTTCCCAGCTCTGTATTCAGTGGTATCACTCTAGGAGCTTGAAATTAACAGGGCGGAAGTACTTTCACCACAAAAATTGACCAGTTCTGCAAATCAAGGCCTGACTTATCAGTTCGTTGATTGCCAGGGCTTAAGGAAATAGTGCTGAGTGTGTCAATAATGTAGCTTAAGTTGAAAGTGCTTCATGTCTGTTGTTGTTAAACTTGTGACCAGCACAAAAACTTGAGGAATATTCTTCCAGTATTTGAAAGTCTTATTTGACTGAGCAAAGCATATTCACAGCCACTGCCATGGCCTGGCAGTCCTATGCTAGTCTTCAGAAATCAAAATGAACAGGACACAGACAGACCTGTGGTCAGGGAGCTCAGAGCTCAGGGTGTTTTGTTCTAAGCCAAGTACTACAGAAGAGACAGCAGTAAAAGACATTACATCTGTCATCAAGAAGCGTATAATTTAATTGTAAAGACAAGCCCAGGACACAGAAAACACAGCAGAGTCTTTAAGTCAGGGATGACAAATATCTATTATGCATGCCTCCCCCTCCCTGTTCACATATAGGTGAACAAGGGCTGGCACTCTGCCCTGAGCCGGAATGCGGCTCCAGCATCCTGCCCAAGAGGGCACTCCAGGCAGCCATCGCTGTGCTCATTATGGGTGCCATCACACAGGAGTACAAACCATGGGACAGCCCAGTTTCAAAGTTCAGAGGCGAGAGCAGCCAGAGCAGCCAGAGCTGTGTTCCCTAAACAAGGCTTCACAGAAAAGAAACTTGAAAAGGGTATTGGAGGATGAGTAAGGAACTTGTTAGCAATGCAAAGTCCCAGGCCCCACCCCAGGTCTCCTGAGTTAGGAACTCAGATAGTGGCCCCAGGACTCTTGTTGTAACAAGCCCTCCAAGTGGTTCTAACATCCACTGATACGCCCTGCCGCCTTCTCCAGGTGTTTTCTCTCACATGTCCTTTCACTCACATTGATCCTTACAACATCACCATGCAGTAGGTAGGCAAGCTAGAACATTTATCTTTCTTACACGGGTGAGAAGGACAGTTCAAAGACATTAGCGGACTCACCCCAGACCACGCTGCTGATGTGCAGCAGAGCCTGGGCTGCAGCCAGCTCTCCAGGTGCCAGAGCAGTGTTATTTCCATCAGCCCTAAGGTAAGAGCATAACGATGGCAGGATTCCCCCCAGCCCCCAGCCTTCTAATTTCCTCTCTCACCTTCCCAAGGAGTTGGCCAGCGTCCTGACAACAGGCTGTGAAGAAAAGCCCTGTGGGGTGATGACAGCTGCCTGACAGAAGGAAGGTGATAGGGCTTGGTGCAGGGCCCCCACCATGCTCATACCTGCAAGGACTGAAAGTGAACTTCAAAGCCAGCACCACCCAGCCGGGCCCAGGCATCCAAAACCCTCAGCTCATCATCAGATGCCACGGCCCAGAGCTGGCTAATGGCAAGAATGTGAAAACTCAGCCTCCGATGAACCCCAGGAATGGAGCCATGAAAGCTGGTCCCAGGATCCAGACATTTGTGCCAAGACCTCTCAGGCAGAAGTGATCAGGTTGAAAGAGGAACTCTCTCCAATCCAAAGCCAAGCTGACAGGTCAGCCTGTGAGGGTGGGAAGGGTATGGTCTCTCGAGTCCCACATACCTGGGTTTAAAATCAGTTCCACTGTTTACAAGCTCCACAGGGTGGACTCCTTACCCTCTCTGAGGCAATCTCTTCCTATGCAAACTGGGGACACAAATACCCTCAGCTTGTGTGAAGGAAGCAAAATAATAGGCAAAAGTGCTGGCAGAGGCCTGGGCCATTTCCTTCCCTCACTCTTCCCTTTGGGAGTCTTCTTTCTCCATCTCCATGGATCCTGAGAAGGGAATGCCAAGTTGCTAATGAACCAGGCTAAAGGGGAACAGCTCTGCCTAGAGCAGAAGACAACCTCTAAAAGTACCTTCTAGCATTAGATCATAAATCTGTCCTATGTTGAAACTGTATTTGTGGGCTGTTAGCTCTGTTAAGAGTGTATCTTACTGCTTTATCCAGCATTCAGCACTCACTATGCACAATAATGAGCTGCTTTGTAACTTATGCAATATTGGGCATGAAGAAATTAATCAGGAATTCGCCAGAATTCTCCAATCATCTGAAATGAATCAGTTATTCTCAGTAATCAGTAATTCTCTGGCAAACTATATCCACATGGCCAAATCCAGCCAAGCACTTCTTTTTGTAAATAAAGTTTTATTGGAACATAGCCATGCTCATTTATCCACATATTATCTATGGCTGCTTTCACACTACAAAGACAGGGTTGGACTGCGAGGGCTGAAATATTTACTGTCTGGCCCTTTACAGAAAATTACCCACCCCTGCTCCAAAAGCAAGCATAGATAAACTGAACTGTTGCAGTTCAAGTTCTCCAAGAAGTAGACTCTGAGAAAGAGTTTAGGGTTCAGGATGTTAAATAGGGAATGCCTCTGGGATCCACACCTCTGGAAGGGAGAGAAAGGAAGCGGAAGTGGGCACAGGGAGAAGTCTGGCTGCGATGCTGGTCCAACAGCCTCAGCTGACTCCATGGGACATGCTGGAGCAAATAACCCCTCAGGGTTGGCCTCCAATGGGCCCAAAAAATCTGCACTTTTACCCTCTGCCTCAATTAGTTATTGGAAGTGGGCAAACCCCTGGAATGCATACCCACGGGTGAGGCAACTCCCAAAGGGGCTGAGTGCTGGAGGCTGTCTGCTGACATCACTCCCAGAACCAAGGGCAACAAATCCTCCCTTGCATCTCCATGCCCAGCACAGCCACCCAAGCTTGCTTGCTTGCTTTTTAATATGGAATGCTTCACAAATTTATGTGTCATCCTTATGTAGGGGCCATGCTAATCTTCTCTGCATCATTCCAATTTTAGTAAACGTGCTGTTGAAGCGAGCACCACCGGAGCTTTTTTAAAGTTTTCCTCCACCACCTTCCAGAAGTGCCCCCCACCTCTTAACCAGGGAGTCAGCTATCTTCTGAACCCCCTATGGAAGTGGTGGGTGGCATCAGTGGGATACAAAGTCAAAGTGGACACAGGGTGCTCAGAATAACAATTAAAATATCACCTTAAATTTATTCCCAGTAATATTCTAGAAAAATTTTTTGTCTGTAAGCTTTATTGGACATCACAGAGAAACAGGCTATGCATCTATAAATGCCATTCTCAGGAAAAGTGACTTCCTATCAGAATAACACTCAGATTTTTTTATAGAATGGTGAGATCTAAGATATATAATGTATATAAGATATAAAATGTCTTATATTAAAAAATATAAAATGAGAGATAAGATAGAAAATGTCACTGCTTATTAGTGCAATAACACAAGAACAAGAGATTCTGAGTCTACAAACCTAGGTTCAGTTCTCCACCTGCCATTTACTCTGGACAATCTCTTTACCCTCCCAATGTACTTGGTCGTCTATAAGATGGGACCCTGATACTCCACACCTCATAGTGTTCTCACAGAATCATAAGAAATTATATATGTGAACCAGTGATGACATCTGGAAAGTCCTCAAAAAATATTTTTTGTCTACTGTAGCACCTCCTTCATTGCTATCTTGAAGTTCTATTCAAATATTTAATTGATTTAGTTCTTCTTTTTTGTAGTTCTTCTCTGGTATTACCAAGTATACTATCAATATTTTGTCATATACAGAACAGGTATTTTAAAATATTTTTTATTTCCTCTTAGTCTACCTACATATATAAATATACATGCCCACCTGTATATATACATACAAATATCAGCTCCATTCGATATTTCCTTCCCAAGACAAATATCCCAGAGAATAGATAGGCATTGATAGTCACAACTTTTGGCAAAGGATGCTGGAGAAAATATCAGTGGACATTCAAAGTCCTACCTCTTCATAGCCCTGCCCCCACTGACATCGCATGAGGTCTCAGCAACCCCTGGGAGTCGAGTGAATGGGCTAGCATACTGAAGTTTTGTCCCACCATGTTTTCCTGAGCTATAAGTGGCCAGGGATACTACAGTAAGATCTAGGGCTTAACTCCATTCTGTCTTGTGTCTCCATTGGCACACCTGTTCGTCAATGAGTCATTTTCCTTTCTGCATTTCTTCTTCTCTCTCTCTCAGGCTAACTCTTCACTCCATGAATGAACATAATAATATATATCACTTGTTTCTTGGGTTGCATTAGCCAAGGGGAGAGAATACCATAGTAATAGGATAACCAGCATTACTCACATTCTGCCCACTTCTATTTAACCTGTCAAAATCTCCATTTATCATGAAAAGTCCCACATAACTGGTTATGGGAGTTCTTAGAAAGTGCTTGCTCACTATGGTATTCCCCAGCCCTCTCAGCTACTATGGGGTTCCTTCATTTTCTTTCTTTTCTGCTCTAAGTCTGTAAAGCTCCATGAAGATGCCTTGGCTCTGCTCGTGAATATCTGGTGAAGTCCTTCTGGGCCAATGTCAACAACAGGGGATGGATGTCAGTGATGCTGCAGTCCAACCTGAGGAAAATCGTTCCCTACAACCTGTTACCAAAGCAGGACTGTCTGCTCCTCCTCAGTCTCTTAAGACTTTTATCCCAGCTCTCTTTCAGTTTCATATCCTTCATTGTCTTTCAGCTGCCATCCCCTCTCCTCTCTCCTTAGCAATCAGGGGCAGCTCCTACAGTAGAAGGCATTGGCCCTGGACAACTGTCTGAGTGTCAAACTCCATCCACTCCAAAGAACCAACCTTCTCACAAACACCTGCAGCACCATCAGTGGGCCGGGCATGCTCACCCAGGCTCCAGCTTACCTCATAAGAACTCTAGGTCCTTGCCACCACACATGCCCACCCAATTGACAAACATTTATTAACTACACAGGCAGGCCCAGAGTCAGACAATACATAACTGAAACCCTAAAGGGGCATGTCTTTATACTTTTAGGGCCTCTTCCTTTACCTTGGCATTCAATCATTCGACAAGGATATTTAGCAGCTACTGTGAAAGAGATATTAAGCTCTGTGTGGTTAAAGATGAATAGAACACAGTAGCTGTTGCCTTCACTGGGCTTATAACCTAGTAGCAGATATAGGAAGTTCACAAAAACCATAATACAAAACAAAAGACAGCAAGTGCTATATAAGAGGGGTACAAAATGTTTCTAGTATTCAGAAAAAGAAGAGTGCATTTATTAAGTACTTTCTATTGTCAAGCATATCTAAATCCCAGAGAGAGGAGGGACAGAGAATAGTGTGTACATATGAGTATATTTATAATATGCATATTATAAATCATAATAGTGTATATATATTTCCCATTTGAAGTTTATTATACCCCATTTTACAGGTGAACATCTCCATTTCAAAGTGATTCAGTAACTTGTTCAGAAAAGGATCTCTCTCAATGGGAACATCTGGAAAGTTTCAATAAAAGAAGTATCATCTGAACTGATTCTTTTTTTTTTTTTTTAAAGATTTTATTTATTTATTTGACAGACAGAGATCACAAGTAGGCAGAGAGGCAGGCAGAGAGAGGAAGGGAAGCAGGCTCCCTGCTGAGCAGAGAGCCCGACGAGGGACTCGATCCCGGGACCCCGAGATCATGACCTGAGCCGAAGGCAGAGGCTTAACCCACTGAGCCACCCAGGCGTCCCATCTGAACTGATTCTTAAAGGTTTGGTGGAATTTTAATTCATATGTATGATCTTCAGTACAAAAGTAATACATTTTCATTGTGGAGATTTTTAAAATATGGAAAAGCACAAACATGCAAGTTTAAAAAAAAAAAAAAAAAAAAAGTCCAGAAGTGCTCCATATCACTTGGCATCAGGGAAATACAAATCAAAACCACAATGTGAGACCACCTCACACCAGTCAGAACAGCTGAAATTAACAGGTCAAGAAACTACAGGTGTTGGTGAGGATGCTGAGAAAGGGGAACCCTCCTACACTGTTGGTGGGAATGCAAGCTGGTGCAGCCACTCTGGAAAACAGTATGGAGGTTCCTCAAAAAGTTGAAAATAGAGCTACCCTATAACCCAGCAATCGCACTACTGGGTCTTTACCATAAAGATACAAATGTAGTGATCCAAAGGGGCACATGCACCCAAATGTTTATAGTATCAATGTCCACAATAGCCAAACTGTGGAAAGAACCTAGATGTCCATCAACAGTTGAATAGATAAAGAAGATGTGGTGTATATATACAATGGAATACTATGCAGCCATCAAAAGAAATGAAATCTTCCCATTTGCGACAACGTGGATGGAACCAGAGGATATTATGCTGAGCAAAATAAGTCAATCAGAGAAAGACAATTATTATATGATCTCCCTGATATGAGGAATTTAAGAAGCAAAGTTGGGGGCTTGGGGGTAGGGAAGGAAAAAATGAAACAAGATGGGATCGGGAGGGAGACAAACCATAAGAAACTCTTAATCTCATAAAACAAACTGAGGGTTGCCAGGGGGAGAAGGGTATGGAGAGAGCAGTTGGGTTATGGACATTAGGGAAGGTATGTGCTATGGTGAGTTCTGTGAAGTGTAAGCCCGATGATTCACAGACCTGTACCCCTGGGGCAAATTATACATTATATTTTAATTTTAAAAAAGTCTTTAAGTCCCAGCACCTCAATATAAATACACCATCAACATTTTGGTGCATATCCTTATAAACATTTCTCTACTAATCGCCACATCTAAAAGACCAATTGGGACCATACTGTTTATTCACCTGCATTTTTATAAATGACATTTCACCTTATCCTCACAATAGCCCTAAAGTAAGGAGTGTTATCAATCCCATTTTATAAGAATAGCTTGAGGGACAGAGAGTTTAGGTTGTCCAAGTCGTGAGACAGAGCCAAAATGCACATCCTAAATGGTCTTTCCCCAGAATCCATACTGAACTTCCACCAGCTGCCTCCCAGCCCATGAGCTGTGCCATGGAGATGGCAGGGCATGGAGAGAAAAGGTAGGAATCACTGGGAGGGATTAGTCTTAAAGAATACATGTAACCTGATTTTAGCATCCAGACCCCAGCTGTATCCTGCCCCACAGACAAGGAAATGCAACCCTGTAGACAACAGAAGAGGGTCTTTGAGACAAAGAAGGAACAGTGGGCACATTTCTTCTTGGTAATGTTGGGATCCTTGATTGAGATTTGGTGACTGCTTCTAGCTAGTGCATAAAGGATGGGAGAAATTTTTAAATGACTCTAATTTTTCTAGCCTGAGTAGTTGGAAGAAGGCTGGTCCCATAAATAACACCAATTTTATAGCCTGTTTAATAATACATGTAACCTCTACTAGGCAAAAACTAGTCCCTCAATTTAGACTCACCCCAAACTCAGGACTCTATGCACTGTGTGATCCAGTGAGGTCTCATCAAATCTATAATCCAGGTCACTAAGGAGACCTGGCCCTGGCTAAATCTCTCATGAGAGCCAGGCTGGGGGCTGGAGCAATTCATCTGTGCAAGCCCCGGCTTCCTAGAACTGTGCTTTCCCATAGTAGCTTCTCTGTAACAGCTAGGCATCTGGAACAGGCACCAGACTAAAATGTGGTCAAGCAGGATGGTTGCCTCCCCAATCCACACCAAGTGGACTTTGGTTCTGCCCTAGCAGGGATGGGAAAAACAAGATTTCGCCAAAAGAAAAGAAGAAATCGAAACATAAAATGTACTTCTTCCCTGGGCTGCATGTTCCTGGCTTGACTTATATCACTTACATAACAGTGATATTATATTTTAGAACAGCACAGAGAGTTTCAGGCAAGGCCAGAAATGCCAGCCTGGGATTTGGTCCCCTAGAGTGCTGACAACAAAAGGGAAAGGGAAGGAACCTGGCTGTGTGGGAGTCAGGAATGTCTCTTCTGATTCCAGCATCCAGACCCCAGACGCACCCTGCCCCACAGACAAGGAAATGCAACC